TTCTTTTTTTTTTTTTTTTGGGTACTTCGAGAAGCTTCCGACAAGGAGGAGTGAAAGGCGATTGTGGCTATGGGGGAAACCAGAGGCCACCCTATTTTCAGAATGAGCGAACGAACACTTACATCTGATTCCAATATCATCGCCACCAATACTCAACCACCATCACAACGATATATACAGCCTCGCTCCACTACACTCCACATTCACAAAAGACAAAAAAAAAAAAAAAGGCTGTGTATCTCTCTTTCCATGTTCTAGACGAAGATTCATTCTCATTTTCCACATTTGGTGAGGCATGGACCTGCGAGGCCCATTACGACCCCATTCTTAATATCCTTATTACGACTGCATTCTTATCCTTATTACGACTACATTCTTAATATCCTTGTAGGGCCTCGCTGCACTACAGTAACTCTCGACATGCACAAAAGCCAAAAATCATGGCCGTGCATCTTCCCATATTCTAGCGGAAGTTTCACTCTCGTTTTCCACATTTCGAGACTAATGCAGCGAGGCCCATATTAGACAGTAAGTATGCTAGAGCTGGTCCTATCGAAAGAATGGTGGGAAAGGTGTCAGCCTGACATTTCCTCGCCTCTGCTCGCCTCTGCTGGTCATGGAGCTACGTAGCTCATCATCGACCCAAGTCACAGAACACGAAACAAACCGTCAGTAGAGATAAATACCCCAAGCAACATGTAAGCCAAGTGAAAAACACTTACAGCCATTCATTCAGAAATAGCGGAGGAAAGGGAGGGGAGGAAGATAAGACATAACGCAAAGTCCCCCGAGGGCGTTCAGCTCGTATAAAATTGAACACTACGGTAGGCAGATTCTCTTGTTCCGTGATACTAAGCAGATTCCCAAAAAAGACAAGGACCAGCCTGAGGCATGGAGACGACTCAGAGGAGTAGAGTGAACTCTGAGTCAGTGAAGTTGGTCTGGCTGCGGAAGCGTCGGAGTAAAGGGACAGTGAGAGAGAGAGGAAGAGACGGAAGGATGGAGGAGGAGGACGGACGGAGATGAGAAAGGGGAGCGGACGAGATCGAAGGCCACATCCCTCGCTCTGGACCTCTGGTTGCTGAAGCGTAAACGGACAGCATACCGTAGTAGGATGACGAAGGCTACACTCCACTCCTGTTGTGAATCAGAGGCAAAACAAGCGCCTCCGAGTCGCATCCAGCTCACAAGCACCATGAGGATGCGCAAGAGAGGCAAGTTTGCCAGCCTCTCTGTAACACCTGGAATTTATACTATCCTAGTATAGGCCCGGGATTGGACGTTTTCCTACCCAGATCGGTCCTCTTCCCTCCGTCTGTCCGTCCGTCCGTCAAAAAAGAACCTCTCTCTCTCTCTCTCTCTCTCTCTCTCTCTCTCTCTCTCTCTCTCTC